TAGAGAAAATTGTCACAAGCTCAACAAAGTAAGGCCAACCAGAAGACCTATGCACACAATTATACAGTTCTACAAATCCTATCACCGAAAAAGTATTAAGTCTACAATTCAAACACTTCCTTGTATGTGCAATTACAAAACAGCAACTAGATGAATTCCTCATTCAGAGAATTACATTTCCATTCAATCTCCCAAACCCAAATGTCCAAGCATAATCTAGGCACAGCCTTAAACAGAAGAATAGTTCTTCAACAAACATATACCAATAGTCATCCATGTAGCCATTCACCGACCACAAGAATAGGCACAAAACTGAAAGCAGAAATGTTGAACAAATTTGCTAACCTCGAAACGTATATTCTTGTAGACAACCTCCTCCACATTGCTACCAACGGTAGGGTGAGTAGTCACGACCTCACCCAAGTGCAATTTGTAAAGGGTGGTGGTCTTCCCTGCATTATCCAACCCAACCACCACAATCTTGTACTCCTTTGCAGGAAACAACATGAACCAAAACCTAGACACGAATGCTCCCATCCCCTCCTCCCTTTCTCCTCCTCCTCCTATTTCAACAAGATACCCAAATTCAGCAAAATTCAATCAACCATCATTTACAGCACCACAAATGAAAGGCAAACCAACATGAGAACGACCGCCACAAAGGGTAAATATAATTTTATGCAAATCATCAGGACAAAAAGCATCACAACCCAGATTGTGCAAATCATCAGTAGAAGCGCAAAGATTGGAAATTTCGGATCGAACCTTAGAGCTAGGGATTGAAGGATTGAAACCCGAGAGTACGAATCGCAGAAGAGAGGCGAGCTCGATTGGAGCTAAGGATCGAAAACTGCTGCGGACGAGCGAAAGAGAGCAACAAGCCGAATGAGTAATCGCGTATTCGCGTTGAGGCGACAGCGAGAGAGAGGCTACGCGATCTGACTCTTCCGTCTATAATAATGGAAGCGTAAGCAGAATAAGAATTGGATTTTCTCACCAAAATGGAATTAATAAAAAGTGTTTTCAATCTTTAAAAACCATGAGACTATGAGAGGCAGGAAGAAAGGAATGGTCAAGCAACGAAAGCAACCAGCAAGTGGAGGGAGAAACCCGGGCTCACGTTGGCGGGTAACGGGAGACTCAATTGGGCCGTACAACTTCATAACGTTATTGGACCGTTCAGGTCCTGGGCTACCAGCCCATATAGTCAGACAAATATTCTTTCGGGCCCTAAAACTAACAAATATTCTTTGGCAAAATACACCTGTATAGCCATAACTTTCACGTTTGTGACAAATATAGTCATAATTATTCGAAAACACAAAATAGCCATTTCCGTCTATCCTTTTAACGGTGTCATCTAACATGCTGACTAGACTAACGGAAAAGCTGACGTGGAGACATTTCATCAATAACTATTCCACGTGGATATATGAATGGAAAAAAAATAAAAAATAAAATATAAAAATATTTAATGAAACCCATCTCAATTTCTTCCAATCTTCGTGCACTGCTCACTCTGCCCATCTTCGTCTTCTTCCTTCCTTCCACATTGCCATTTTTTTGAAACCAAATTTCAATCCAAAACCCTAATCAACTCCAAATCCATCTCAGCCGCCGTAAATCCGCCACCCTCTACACCCCTAACTCCTCACACCGCAGAGAAGAAGTTGGTCCCTCGCGGCGGAGCTTCTCCTTTCACACCCGAGACAGAGTCTCGCCACCATCGGCGGAGCCAAGATTCGCCGAGGTTGTTTGAAGACGATTGATAATTACCCAACTCCTCCGCCAATGGCATCAGCCCCATTCCAAAATCCCCATCTTTCGCAGATCTGGAATCTCGATTTCCTCCGTCCTTGAATTACGATTTTCTTCGTTCTTGAATCTGCCTAGAGAAGCGGACTCGCAAAAGCAATGACAGCGGCAGAGGCGGCAAAAATGGGGGATCGTTGAGGAGCGTGAAAATCGGCGCCGGTGATGAAATTATCTCGGTGGGGGTGTGCGGCGGAGGAGCAGAGGTGGGAGGAAGGGGAAGGGGAAGGTCGCAGGTGTGGTTTTGAGTCGTCTCCTCGCCGCTACTCCAAGAAGCCCCCTGAACGCGAGCTTCCCGTTCATCAATGGTGCTTGCGGGAAGAAGAAGCGGAGGAAACGAAATCTAATAGATCTATCAAACCACCGCCGCCGCCAACAAAAAGAATCCCCTGAGCCCAACATCGCCGAGCTCCACGAAGTGATGGCGAGCAGCGAGCAAGTCAAAGATGAAAATCGCCATGGAACTCGTCCGCGACGTCGAGATTTTCTCCAAGATCGAGAGAGGTTGTTTTAGAGATGAAGTGTGTACTTCCAGCAACCCATCTCTACTCCGCCGCTCTTCTACTCTCTCGCTATGGCGATTTTTCAGATTCCTCCCGCAAGAACCCTACAGTCGCTGGGTTTCTCCTTCCTGTGGAAGAAGACAGGGCGAGGTATGGTGGAGAAGAAGAAGGCTCGTGGAGGAGTTGCAGCTGTCGTCGCCGCTGGGAAACGTGGATTGGGAAGACGATTGTTGCTGGGAAAGGGATTTTGGAGAGCTTCTTCTCACCACGCAGCAGCTCGATCAACCTCTCTACAAGGTCGATCCCTCTTCAAAATTTCTCCTTTCAGTTCGTCTCTTTTTTATTTGGGTTTGCTAGCTCTTTCCATGGGCAACTAGATCCTCCTCCAGGGATTCAAACAGAAGAGGTAGCAGAATGGAAAGAAGAAAAGAAAGGGAATGGATTCTGTTGGTGGGATTTGGGGTTTCTTCAATTGGATTCTGTTGGTGGGAGATCAGAGGAAGGATAATGGAAAGAACGAAAAGAAAGGGGCAGGGAAGTGGAAAATTAAAATATTATTTATTTTTTAATTTTAAAATTAATTAATTTTATAATTCAAAATGACATGACATTGTTTTGATGACTGGTTGCTGACGTGTCCGACGATTTGGCATCCTAGTCAGCCTAACGTTAATCTAACTGACGGAGTTTCTAACACCGTTAATGTTTCTAACGGATTTGGCTAGATTTGTCACACTACCCTCATTTTTTTGGGTTATTTTTGGTTTTCGAATAGTTATGGCTATATTTTTCACAAACGTGAAAGTTGTGGCTATACAAGTGTATTTTGCCATATTCTTTCGAGCAATTTATAGACCATAACTTAAAACGATCTAGTTTAGCTCAATAAGTCACCGATTCGAGATGGTTCACAAGATTTGTAAGTCAAACAAAATTTATTCCAAACTCGATTTGTTAATAAACGTGTCTATTGAAACAGAGATTAGGAAGGGAAGCGGATAGTTTCGATATGTTTTTCGTTTCCACTTGCTCTGGTTCCTTTGTTCGTGTGCTTCAGTAGCCGTGGGCATCACCCACGCATGAGGAGCGGATGGAGGTTTGTTTCTTTTTTCTTGCTTCGCTTTCTGGTCGTTGTCGTGTCTTCGATGCTCAAGAATTAGGGATCTCGATTGCAACCACGATTGATGATCCTGAGGAAGTCATGGGTTTCCCCCACGCACACTCTCCTCCTGTTGATTGGTGGTTACCCTTTTTGAGGGGTGGATTTCTTCCTTCCAAAGCTTATATGCTTTGTTGTTCACTTGTAGGGTGAAAATGTTTTTTTTTCTTCTATATGTAGTATACTTGTTGTGATGGCTTTGGACAACAGATTATGGCTTCGCGGGGTTGATTATTCTGGTTTTCATTTGGATCTTTGGAAGGCTTCTGCAACTCGAGCGACAATGGTGGACTTTGCTCATTGCATGGGTTATGTTGTTCAAGTTGTTTTTGCGGGTGTCGTAGTTTGTACTTTTCTGGGTTCGATGGTTTGTGTTCCATGGTTACAACGCGGCTCATTTGGTGGCCATTCATACTATGTTCTTGTCGCCTCATTTATTTTAGGTTCGACTTTGTTTCTTTGTTTAGCAGTAGGCGTGATTTTGTTGTAAGTCTACGGATCTTTGTTTGTTCCTCTTATGTAAGAGTGATCTAATGCCAAAAAATTAAATTAAATGTGTCTATTATCGAACAAGTTTTATTCGAACCGAACTTCGAGTGGCTTGAGTACACCTGATTGTTTTTAGGGATGACAATGGGTCGGGTCGGGTCGGGTTGGGTCAGATTTTGTCAAACCCAAACCCATGGGTTTATCCGTCAAAAAACCCCGGGGTAAAACCTATTAGCTTTGAAAAACTCAAACCCAACCCAACCCGTTGGGTATCCGCGAGTTCATGGGTACTCATGGGTTTTTGTGGTAAAAAATTTATAATAACAAGTTCCTATCAAAATAAAATTCAAACATCAATTTTCTCATCAAATTATCCATACATAAAACAACACTCTAGAAAATTCAAACAAATCACAATTACACTAAATAAAAGCACACGGAATAAGTGTAATGAGAGTTAGATTGAGGGAAATTAGAATTAGGGTAGGGTTTGGGGAGTAGTGCGACGAAATAAATGTGGGCGGATATTCATGGATTGGGTATCCCCAAAACTCAAGCCCAACCCAATCCGATAATTAGTGTACAAGTTTAATCCTAAACCCGACCCGAAACCCATCAACACGAGTTTTACCCACATTGACCGGGGTTGGATCACCCGTAGGTTCGGATTTTGTTGCCATCCCTAAATTTGTTTCTCTCATGATCACACCAAGTAGGCAAGTAGTCACCAACCAAGCTTGCCCGTCGGCCCGTTTAACACCTGCAGCTGCAAGCAACGCTATTCAAAGATCCGTTTGGCAACTACAAGAATTTTGGACTTTTCCAGTACCTTTTCGCCCACTGGGGGGCGACAACTACGAAGCTGCTCCCATCTCATTCACTTCGTTGCATCCGCCATTTTCCTCGCTAAACCCCCGCCTCCCTCGATTCCACAGCCACAGCAGCCAAACGCGGTCTATTAATCCTCTGCTTCCGGCCGCCGTCTGCAGGCCACGTGACGCAACTGGAAACCGCGCCGCTCTACACTTGCCGGCCAGATGTCTTCTCAGTCGCTTCATTTCTTCACCCCTTCCTCCACCGCCTGCCCGAACATTACCTTCCCAAAGCCTTCACTTCCGTTTCCCAACCGCCGCTCACCGTTCGCTTCCTCACCTAGGACATTTTCGATCAGAGCCGTTTCGGCGTCTTCAGATCCCAATCCGGCACCGCCGCCTGTCGTTGTTGCCGACAATGGAGCGGGGAGCCGGGTTGTGGCGGCGGCGGATTCCAGCTCAATCGATGTGGATAAGGTCACGGAGGCGGAGTTGAAGGAGAATGGGTTCAGGAGCAGCAGGAGGACGAAGCTGGTGTGCACGATCGGGCCGGCTACCTGTGGCTCCGAGCAGCTGGAAGCGTTGGCCGTCGGAGGGATGAATGTGGCGAGAATCAATATGTGCCACGGCACTAGGGAGTGGCATAAGCGGGTGATTGAGCGCGTCCGGAGGTTGAACGAGGAGAAGGGATATGCGGTTGCGATTATGATGGATACCGAAGGGAGTGAGATTCACATGGGAGACCTCGGCGGTGCTCCGTCCGTCAAAGCGGAGGTAAAGGACATTGTTTTATTAACTCAATGGAGAAAAAATAAGCTTTGAGTGGGTTTTCACTATGCCTTTTACTGATTATCGAACTAGATATTCAACATTTGGCTTCCAGGGTTCATGTTAGTTCACATTATTGTGAAAAAATGAACTGTATTATGCGGGTATGAATGTGTAGGATGGTGAAGTCTGGACTCTCAGCGTGAGAGCCTATGATGGAAATCGCCCTGAACGTACAATTACTGTAAATTATGATGGTTTTGCAGAAGGTTAGTGAGTTATTCGTTTGGGAATCATTTATGCTGTCTGATGTTTTGGGATATTCTGGTTTCGTGTTGGAACTCGAAGGTTAATTCTACAATTATTATCAACGTGGTGCAGATGTGCAAGTTGGGGATGAGTTACTTGTGGATGGTGGAATGGTTCGGTTTGAGGTGATTGAAAAAATCGGTCCTGACGTCAAATGTATGTGCACTGATCCCGGTTTGTTGCTGCCCCGTGCTAACTTGACTTTCTGGAGGGATGGAAGTTTGGTACGAGAACGTAATGCTATGCTTCCTACAATTTCAGCCAAGGTTCGTGCGTCTCTCACCTTTGTATGGCTGCAGGGGACTTGGGAATATGCAATTCATTTATTTATTTTTCAGTAAATGAATCCATCCCGTTGGAGACAGTAGACATTGTTGTTTCGTGCCAAACATTATTTTGCTTTTGTGCTCATGCGAGGATATTTTTACTTTCAGGACTGGTTGGACATTGATTTTGGAATTGCAGAGTCTGTTGACTTCATTGCAGTATCATTTGTGAAATCGGCTGACGTGATAAACCATCTTAAGAGCTACATAGCTGCACGCTCTCGTGATAAGTAAGTACCTCAATACAATAGATGTGTACTGGTTGAATTGCATTTACAGATCACGTAGTTTATGAAAAGCTATTCACCGTCTTGTGAGAGCTTCTTTGGCCTTTACTTCTTGTATTGCCTTTGGAAGAAAAGTTTAAATTTGGAAGGTGTCCTGTTGTTGTTAGAAGTCTAAGAAGAAGGAATGGTTATGAGAAAACAATTATAGTTCTTCCATCCAGGATGCGTTGCATTACCTTCTCTTCTTTGTTATTGTCTTAACAGTATGGTTGTTCTCCTCTCCAAAGAAGAAATATGTGTCATACCAAGCTCTCCTAATTCTAAATCAAATTTTCGTTCTCTCATTCACTAAGCAAAAAATTAGGGCAGAATCTTTCTTCTTTGATTTGAAATCTCTCAGTGGTGGCTCATATTACAGGTTCAAAAGCCTTACATATGCCCCTAGCTCACACCATGTGCGCCACAAGGTGTCATGGCAAACTTGGCATCTCACCTCTTGTGCTTAGGCTCGCACTATGGGAACCTTGCTTATTAGTGCGGCTTGTGAATGTTTGATAGAGACATGAGACCCATCTGCCTTTGTTTAAAACTTTTAGGTTATTCCAAACTGACCTGTGTACATTCCTGCTGCAGTTGCCTTCTTACTCATTTAGTTTTCCACATAAATAACTCTCTTTGGCTCATTTGCTTTTTATTTTCGGTAGCAGTGACATAGCAGTCATAGCAAAGATAGAGAGTATTGATTCGCTGAAGAATTTGGAAGAGATCATTGAAGCATCAGATGGAGCTATGGTAGCAAGAGGAGATTTGGGTGCTCAGATCCCATTGGAACAGGTACCGGCCGCACAGCAAAGGATTGTTGAGGTGTGCAGGCAACTGAATAAACCAGTCATTGTTGCGTCTCAATTGCTTGAATCTATGATTGAGTATCCTACACCTACAAGAGCGGAGGTAGCCGATGTCTCTGAGGCTGTTAGGCAAAGGTCGGATGCATTGATGCTCTCTGGTGAATCTGCTATGGGTCAATTCCCAGACAAGGCTTTGACTGTTCTTAGAAGTGTGAGTGTGAGAATTGAGAAGTGGTGGAGAGATGGGAAACACCATGAAGCAATGGAACTGCCAGCTGTTGGTTCATCATTTTCTGATCGTATTTCAGAAGAGATTTGCACCTCTGCTGCCAAGATGGGTAAGTCGCCATTTCATCATGAAATTGCCATGTTATTTCACTGATACCTTGATGATACATTCTTCATTCTTTCACTCTTTTCACTCATTTGTTTAAGCCCAAAATGATTTGTTTTGCCCTATGGCTTTTAGGGCAGGTCATAGTTAGCGAATCTCCCTAGAATAAACTTCAACATATAGTTATCTCAAAGAAATCCATTGGAATTGTAATGCTTTAGGGATCGTGTGGATGTAGGATTCAAAAAGTGACAGATTGTGCAGAGTCCATGGATTTGATAAGTAAAACATTTGTCCATTTTTCAATTTTCTTTGCACTAGTGATTTTAGTAGGGGATTGTGAGTTTTAAAGGTTAAATGACATTAGTATCCTCACCAAGATATAATGAGGAGGGCCATTGGAAGGCATTTTGGAATAAACCAAAAAACATTGACGGTGTAGGCAATGTTCGGGGGGTGAATTTAACAAACCCTCACCTAGGAGTGAGGTTTTGAAATCACTTGGGCCCACGGATTTTCAGCCTTATAGATTTCCAAGTCCCCTGTTTTGCTTCAGTAAGCAGGGGCTTGGAAGAAACCCTCTACTCATAACTCAAATCCATGAGACAAATGTTACATCCAAAGAACCCCTTAAGGCTTAGAAGTTGATTCCTCCTACATTGTGGTGGCTTGTATTACAAGATTTTCATGACCCTATGGAACTGAGTAACTGACGTTGTCTTATTGGACCAAGGTTCTATATTTCCTGATGAGTTGTTTTTGTCCATGCTAGGATTTGTGCAATAAAGAGTGATAGTGAACGGAATTTGTTGTTGCTTTTACAAGGTTATTATAGGACTGAGTAACTTACGTGATGCCGGGTTTCCTGAGTTCTTGTGATGGATCCTGGTAGACATTCGAGTTGTGTTTACTGCTCAACTGGATATAATTATAAAATGTTCGAGACTTCTTAGACATTTCGGCACCGGGTTGATTTGATAGCATGGGTATTTTAGATTCCTCAAATTTTGCATAGTGTGAAGGGATCTTTCTTCCCCCTTCATCTGCTAGCATTTCATTATCATGTCTTTTGAAGCTTGTTTATGCAATCAATCAGCAACCCACACTCCAATGACAATGCATTCATTATTCATTTTGTGTAATTGCAGCAAACAACTTGGAGGTGGATGCCCTTTTCGTCTACACAAAGACGGGGCACATGGCATCTCTATTGTCACGCTGCCGACCTGATTGCCCCATCTTTGCCTTCACAACATCGACATCCGTACGAAGGCGGCTGAACCTTCAGTGGGGGCTGATACCTTTCCGCCTGGGGTTTTCCGACGACATGGAAAGCAACCTCAACAGGACCTTCTCCTTGCTCAAGGCTAGAGGAATGATCAAATCCGGCGACCTTGTTATTGCCGTCTCGGACATGTTGCAGTCCATCCAAGTCATGAATGTGCCTTGAATAACACAGCGCGAAGTCTCCGCTCCAGACTGCAATTGCTGCCGCTACTCCCCCGATGTCTCCTATTATTACTAGTTTGGTTTATTGCGACTAACAAGAGAGATGTAAGGTAGTGCTGATCAGCAGCAATAAGGTTGCTCTTGGTCTTATAAGTATGTATACTGTTTCTTGCTGCTTTCCGGGTTTTCTTCTTTCGTCGTTGTATCAAATGATTAGGCTAGGCACAACTGTAGCTTTGTTGCAGAAACTTGGGGTGACTGGATTTCCTTGTTTGGCAAACGCTGGTTAATGCATTCAAAGCGCCCATTTTGGGAATCTCCTCTCACATTTCTTTTACGTAATGGGTCTGATTGTGAGTAAAAGCAAGTGGGTGTCATCACATTTCTACAGCAGTACTGCACTTTGGGTACGCAAAGATGGAAGAACAATCATGGTGACGAATGGTGACGGATGAGAGCATCTTATTCTTGGAGCCTGGATGATGATCTTACAGGAGTTGTTGTAGCAGAGAGTTCACGAGGAGTACTTTCTTTTACCCCATCTCGTCCTTGTGGGGAAGGCAGTACTTTTGGAGAGGGCTGTCGGTTTGGTTTTGATTTTTCGATTTCAACTAAAATCAAACAGATAAGAAGTTTAATGGTTTTGGTTCAGTTTTAAAACCATTTAGCATCTTAGAGTTTTGGTTACGGTTTTGAAAACCAATAAAAAGCTGATAACACTCCAACTAAGTCAATACCCAAAAGACTTGTCGGTTTATGATTAACCCATAAGGCCCTTAATGATTTTGGTTTTGACAATTTGCTTAATTTGATTTTTCGGATTGTTTTTTTAGAAAAAGGCGAGATGGGTTTATTTTTTGTAATTAGTTACTAATTAAGGAATTAAGATATGGAAACTCTAGGGGGTCGTTTGGATGGAGTATTTGTATGAGTTATTTGGGTTCAAATAACTCACAATGAGTTATTTGGATGCAAATAACTCGTTTGGCAGCGTTTTACTGAAATGAGTTATTTGGACAGTGAGTTATTTGAAATAACTCGTTTTATCACTCTGCTTTTACCAAATACCACATGTCAAATACCGCATTTGCATGGTTCAACCAAACGAGTTACTTTATTTCAGTTACCACTGAAATAACACCGAAATACCACATGAACAATAAATGAGTTATTTGACTCTATAAATACCACATTGACAATTAACCCATCCAAACGACCCCTAGATTTAATACTAGTGGTATTACCACTAGATCAATCTCTTGACGTGGATTTTCATGCTTAATGATTCCGTTAATCAAACCAAAGCGAACTGACAACATTACTTTTGGGAACCATGCATGTACTCTAGAAACAGGAGTGGTCGGGTGAAAATGAAAGGAACCGTCGGCTTGCTTCGTGAAGGAAATGAAACTCTTCTACTCTTGTACTATTTGTACCATCTTGACTTTCATAGCATAGCTTGGTGGGTGCATCAGCGTGCGTATTGAACAGTATCTCAGAGACACTGTAGCAAAGATTTTGATGGGGTGAAGTGTTTCAAATTTGCAATCCTCAGCCCTTACTAGAATAGAAACGGTTGAAAATGTCACTTTCATTGTTTATCAAAGTCCGAAAGCAGCAATTTTTCTGGACTTCTGTGTTTGTGTTCTTGAGAAGGAAAACGGGAAGAAAATGAACGTTGGGGCAGTTCCCTTCCGAAGGGTTACGTCGCTCAAAGTGCGTAGTGCGATTTAATATGTCAAATTAAATAACCAACTCTTTTTTCAAAAAGCCCACTAACCACTTTATCCAATAAACTAAAGTGGAAAACAAACTTAAAAAACCACGTGCACTTTCCTTCTCCCACCAATGTGGTATTTTCTTTTAACTCTTTTGACTACTCTAACATTTCCTTCTCTCCCCAAATTTTTTCAGTGCTATGGGGATCAAGGAGTAGCGGGAGCAAAATCCATGACCAAAACACATTCGGTTGTCATCTACATCGTGATTATATCAGTACGTTGGTTTTTTTTTTACTATCAGAAGATATAACCATCCACATTTTAGAAGATTGCGGATTATCTTCTTGCCTGACCACTAAAATGGCAGGGTTAATCTAATTAATTCATGTCTCAAACACTTCATCTCAATCAGCACTCCATCGAGCTATAGCCAGCTTCCCCGCGACAGCTAGCTGTAATGGCAAGTTAAATATTGGTTTTGCTCTGCTGGATTTGGACATTTTTGTCATGGTGCTCTGGATGTCTATTCTTCCTCCCATTCATTGCTGCTCTGCGTACGTAAGTGTATGGAAAACTGACCATGACTTCCCCGTAACACGGACAAGTGCTTATTCTTCACCCACACGAAATTGAAGCTCAGGCTAATCACTTAAATCAGTAATGTTTTCTTCCTTTTTGGGTTTCGGTTAGTATAAATAATACATACTCCAAATTAAGAGAGACCTGCGAAATTAGAGATGAAGTTAGATATACAAGAGACGAGGGTTATGAAAATAAAGTTTCAAGAGATATGAATGAATCATGATAGTTGCGTAGAGCTCGATCTGATATGGTTAGATCACATTTTTTCGCGATTTGATCTGTGCTAATTTTACATGTGGTTTCTTGGAATGTCTGGTTGGAACACAGTCGACGAGTTTTTTTTAAGGATCCAAAAATTTAAGTGTGTCTTGTGTATAAGAATATCCAGGTTACATGAAGTTCGGTAAACGTTTTTGACAAGTGTACAAAGAGTGATTTGAAAATTTGGATAGAGGGTTTTGATATGCGTTGAAGGTTGACTACTGATATCCAATACTAACTTTTAGACTAATTATCGTCAATTTTTTTCTTAGTTTTCTTCGATCTATAATCTATTCATTCTTTTTTTTTTTTTGTGGAATATTCATTCTTTCAATATAAGAGCACATATTAAGCATATTATAAAAAAAATTATAAAATAATACGCATATTGTAGATTACTTACTTTGTTAATACACTTATCATATCAATAAAGAATCTTAAGTAGTCCGAACTCCCAAGTAATCCATCTTTTCTCTATTGGTTTGATAAACTCATGTTGTGACTAGTGTTATCCATCCAACATTTCCTGTTTTTCACGCCACAGAAATTCAAGTGTGCGCTAGTTGATCAATTGGTTTGGTCCATTAAATTATTGGTTGAGTGATTGACTTTACATTTATTGGCAATTAATATTAACATTTTGTCGGTTTACCCTTATTTGATCATCAACATCAGGCCCAATGGCATGGTTAAGGCGAATTCAATTAATCAAATGGGTCCAAATGTTCCCAGCCCAGGTGGCAGACTATTCCATTCACCTACTCAGTTGGACTTTTTAAGCCCACACATTCCGTCTACTTCTTGACACTTAGGTAAATAATTGTTTTTACTTTATAAAAAAAAAATGTTTTTACTATTTAGTCAAATAACTTGGGCACGATTTTGAGCACTCACTAACAAAAACTAATCAACAAGAACATCTAACTAGGATAGACCATTTGGAGAGAAAATTTGCATAGATTTGAATTCCGGTTTTGGTATTCCATTTATATGAATGACAATACGAACCAAATCTAAACGAATTAGCATCCTATTGATATCCCACATCGATGTTGCTGAAGTCCTGTTCTCTTTCATAGAGTTTTCTACGGTTTAGTTTGAGCATGCGTTTGTATGGTTAGATCACATCGTGTTCACGGTTTTTTATGCTAGTTTTATATGTGGTTTATTGATTTGTTTTGTTGGAATATAATCAGTGAGTTTTAGGGGTTTTAAAAGTGAGTTCCTTGTGTATAAAATTAGCACGGTTACAAGAAGTTTGATGAACGTTTTTGACAAGTGTACAAAGAGTGATTTGAGAATTTGGGTAGGCCTTTTCTCGCTGGATTTGAAATCAGGGACTTTGCTAGTGTATTTGGCTTTGGCTTGACAACCAGATTATATTTTTTGCATCGAATTTCGATTTCCTTAACGAATACTAACTTTTGATTTGAATACACATATTATACATCTCTTACGTTGTCAATATACGAACCATATCATTACAAAAATATTAAGGCAAAATACACTTGTATAGCCATAAGCCCATAACTTTCACTTTTTGACAAATATAGTCATATCTATTCGAAAACACAAAATAGCCAAGAAATTAGATGGTCGTGTGACAAATCTAGCCATTTCCGTTACAAACTTTAACGGTGTTAGAAACTTCGTCAGTTAGGTTAACGTTAGACTGACTAGAATGCCAAATCATCGCACACGTCAACGACAACTCAACCACACTTGCCACGTAAGTGCCATGTCATATTTTAATTTAAAAATAAATTAGTTAATAAATTAATAACTAATTTAAAAAACATAAAAATATTTTTTTTTCCTTTTCAATATCCAGTCTCCTCTACCTCTCTCCTCTCCTTCGTCTTCCCCATCTATTCTCCGATGGACTCCCACACCATCTCAATGGCGGAGATAAACAGAGGCTGAATCATTTTCTTCACTTCTTCTCTATCAATCCCTTCTACCTTCCGTTCTTCTCGTTGCAACCCTTCCATCCTCCCAAATCGGCAACGATGCTGTCGTTTCAGGAGAGGCACAACTTCAATCGAAGCCGCCACCGCATCAATCAACTTTCCCACCACCTCCGCATCAATCGTCATTCCCAACCGGCGACCATCGCTCCCAACCAGCGACCCAACCCCTCCGTCTCCGAACAAGTCCCCTTCCTTGCAACAAAAATCCCAAATCCAGAAATATCCAACTCTCTCCGTCTCTGATTCAGATCTGCCTCACCGTCGTTGTTGTTGCAACGTCGACGCCTTCATATCTCTGGCTGCGACAGGTGCAAATAGGAACCCTGGCTACGAAAGAAGAAGAAATTGATTTGTTTGATCTCTTCCCCAGTTGCCCAAGTTGCTTTATGGTTTTTCAGGAAGACGGTGATGACGGTGACGACAATTGAGGATGAAGAAGTGATGGTGGTGGTGGTGGTATTTCAGGT